CGTTTTATTGAACAGCTCAGAAATGCAGCTACAAAAACAGCAGGTAAACAGTTTGATACTGTTTTCACGTGTCCTCACCGCAAATAGTGTGTAGAGTGCTGATGTTTTTAGCAGTTGGCTCAGTGTTGTAACGTGGAACTGCGGAGGATGAGGATTAAACCGTTGGAGGAATTTCTTTTTTACTTCAAACCAAACGAGACACAAACAATTAAACTTTGGAGCGGTAAGGTGTCTGTTGCCTTTTGTTGTGAATAAATAACCTAATTATCACCAAGTGTTTACAATGCACTACTGGCATGTTTGCTACTATACTGGGGTTTAGCCTGAAATGACGGTTTTCGTTGTAAATGTTCTATATGCATACGTACGTACAATGTTAAATGTACATTTGCAATAAATGAACCTAGTGTTTTATAGGTTCAAATAGACACAAAATCTCATATTTTTTTCCATTCTTTTGGTAGCTTTTTTAGCTCTAATTGAAATTTAGGCCTGCCTCTAATTATGGCCTCCTTCCAATAAAGATCCAAACCAGGATGTGCTTGAGTTAATAAAGGCCCAGGCCTGTATTAGAGGATTTACGGTATTAATGAAAATTGCATAAGGCGGCTAAATCTTATAAGAGTGCAAAGAAGTCCAGTTTTTGTTGCACACATTATAGCTAAAGGGCAAAATGTTCTGAACTTACATTTCAGCATATTCTGAGTGTCACAAAACACAGAAAGATGACACGCAAAAGTGTTTACAAGCATACATTTTGAAGGTTAAAACAATGCTATTTCTAAACAAACCGAAAATGAATAAACATATTCATCTACACACCTTTTTCCTCTCCTTCAGGCCCACCTGGAGTGAGTCAGTTATTTTTCTACCTCTCCGTTTTGGCACTTTTACAGCTGCTGCAGATACATCTGTCTATTTTTTCTATCTTGGGACAGAAAGCTCTGATAAAATAAAAGTATAGTTGATTGATAGTGTTTTAATATTCCAAGATACTAAAAGCTATGGTGGAAAATTGCACATAATGACTGAAAAGCATGATTTGACATGATGGAGACATTACCATTGTGTTCAAATCTTGAAAAAGTCATGTGAGATCGGTGAATAACACAAATTGTAGCTAAGTTCATGTTAAATGGACTGATAGACATTCGGTGTTGGTAAAGGTAAGATGTGGCGACCATCTAGATGTCTGGAAAAGTTGATTAGTTATGATGTAAATCCTTTTACTTAAAGCAAATTGAAAAAAATTCCTAGTGCAATTCCTCAAAAATCAGGTAATTTATTGCTAAAATCAAACCAGTTTGCTGTTTCAAGACATTAAAAATGTCTAAATGGTGTCTCATCAGATCACATTGATTCGGTTCCTGCATGCTTTTGGCAACAAGACTCACTCCTCCAGCTCCAGGTGAAAGGTCATGGGGGGATTGTGGAAGCACGCTGCACCGCAGGCTGCGCTTGCGTCACCACGAGCAGGCTATTGAGTCAGGTGCACTCCCAAGGATCTCGCTGCCAGCTGCCGTCGAGGCAGGGATAATCTGCCTAAGCAGCTTTCACATGATTTCACCCACAGGGAAGAATTTAGGAAAGGTTTGTAAACCTCCTCAGACCTGGCCTTGGATTCTCTCCGTGCTTTGACGTTAAAGGTGAACAAGGGATTCATGGCAGACACAACAAAAAATAAATGAGAAAAATAAAAAAAAACATGTACACACAAACCAGTGATTTATACACTTTTGCCACTAGGGCTTTTCTTTCTGGGTTTATTTATTATTTAAGTCTTTTAAAACCCCTCACCGGTCACTCCACCATCCATTAACCTGAAAGAACCATCAGGAAAGGAACAATAAAGAATGCAGATTAGATTTTAAATAAGTGCTGGAAGGGACGTTATCTCTACAGCAGATAGAGGAAAGAGTTAGATTTAAGTGCTGGAAAAGATTAGAGGAAGTTTCTGTGACCTTCTCTGCAAGAGCCAGATGAACTGAAGTTAATCTACTAACAGCAAGGGGTCAAAGTCAGCGGCTGAGGTCTGTACACGCTGTGCAAGGATGTGACATGGAAAGCATATTCCAAAGTGCAGAGGGGACACGAAACGGTCTCCGTGTTTCCTCTGTCACAAGGCAGATTTTGGTTTCACTACAAATGGGAAAGTTACTTTTGGCAGAAATTGAGCAAATTAGACTTTTTTCACACTTTGAAGACGGCTGGATTTCAGGCTTGAAGCTAAATCGTTGACTTTTTGGGGGTCAACATAAATAGGGATCCCTTTTTGGATTCTACCATTAGTCCAGTTTTCCCCAAATCCTGTTATAGCTTATTAAACTCAGTTAGATGGGTTCAGAAACCAAACAGATCCCACTGAGCTGTTTGTGTGTAAACAAACCCAAAGCAAATGATTGCCTGATGTTGATTAAAAGGCTGATACATGAAAAATTTCCTCAAGAGATTTAATTCAAAAAAGAGAAACTACAGACTTTGTCAACGTAGCAGCGGGTGTGATTAATGACAGTAAATATGGCAGAATGAAAATATGTTTCTGATCTGTAGAGATGAAATAACCCCAAACCTAGTTAGCTATGACTGAGTGCCACTAAATGAAGCTAGGTTTGAGATTTGTTGAGTATCAGGATCTGATCATGTGAAGTTTTATGTGCAGACTGAGAACTACTCTCAGAGCCGGGGCTTCACCACCACACACACACACATACACACACACACACACACACACACACACACACACACTGAACTGCTTGTGTAAAGGCTTGCTCCAACTGCTAAGAGAGTTCATACCCTAAGTAGATTATGATTTATGTCCCGTCCTTTGGGTTTATTGTATATCACCAACTGGAAATCTGTTAAGTCCATAAGTAGTTCAGTCTAATGGAGCACTGTTGTGCTTTATTTGGTGGTAGTCAATTCATGCCCCCACCATATTATACCATTACTCCATACTTGGCAGTTTACAAAACTATACACACTTTGCACCATAAGCATGCATCCACGCATGAAGAGGGTCCTACACAGGATCAGGTATTTCACATTCAACATAGCCCATCCCACAGTCTAGTACTTATTTTCATTTTTCTGCACTGCATGCATGCCCTGCTTCAATCCCTGTATGTAGCACATATATTTAACATCTGCAATGGGGGTGTGCAAAATGGCTCGGGTTACATAAATTATGGACATCAGGCACAGCTTTGCGACAGTGCTGATGCATCTGTGCAGAATCAGTTTGTAGTCTAGTTGTGATGTTTAGTTAAAGGATTTTTCAGTCATTTAGAAGTGAGTTTCTGTTAAAAAGTCATATTTACAGTCTTACCAGACTTTTTCCTGAATGTCCTCTGGAGAAGAATTTATGGCCAACAGGACCGATGAGATCTGCAAACAGCTGACACCAAAACAGCTCAGATCTCCCAAAAATTTCATGGAAATTTCTTACAATGTTGTTTAAAAAAATCTTAAACCATCAGTTTCAATTTCATTTCACAGTTCTTAGATTTTCTAATTAGTTATGCTTATAAAACACAGAACTTGTGAGATATGTGGGGTCAATTCCTAAATGAACAATTAAAACTTATTAGCCAACGTAACTGTTTTGGTTGGGCAGAGGCAGATACAAATATAACTGAATCAAAAAGATGAAAAATGCAAAGGTAAACCATGGCAGAGGTACAAACTCATTCAAAACACATGCAGGTATGAATTCTCAAACTGGTAAAATCCAAAGCTACACTAAGTCTAGAAATCTAGACAGAAAGGATTTTGCTCTGCATGTCGGTCCAGCCAAGCGCTGTACGAGCCCCTGCAGCTCCATCATTGGCCTGAGAAGTTTGTGTCTTGCCAATCCCAGCTTGATCAGTTTGGTAGTCCAATCACAGCACTCTGTTGGTTTGGTGGGCAGGATGATTCGACGGAGCGAAACAACAAAGATGGCCATGATCTGTCCATGGGACGCGCCGTACTATATATTCACATACATAGGATGGTGCACCAGGCTAGAGCTACACAATTTTTGTTTCCCTCCAATTGTTTTCATACTGTAATTGTAGAAGACTCACAAGCTCCTGGTGAGATATTTTAATGTAAAAATATGAACCTACCACAAAATAGAAAAATCCTAAAACAGCAGTAGCTCAGGAGGTAGAGCGCGTTGTCTAGTAATCAGAAGGTTGCAGGTTCAATCCCGGCTCCCACCAGAGAATGCTGCGCTTAACCTGCCTTGCCTTCTGGTGGTAGTCAGAGGGACCGGCATCGCCAGTGTTCGAAAGGCTTTGCCTCTGTCAGTACACCCCAGCGCAGCTGTGGCTACATTGTAGCTCATCCCCACCAGTGTGTGAATGGGTGTGTTCTGAAGCACCTCGGGGGGTTGTAGAACCATAAGGCACTACACCATTTACCAACAAATGAGCAAATACAGGTGATTTAGGTCTCTAAAACAAGTATAAAGACTTAATTGATATGTAATGGGTTCATTATAATTAACTGGTATCATCATCACTAAAATCAAAGTAACTCCAGGAATTGGTCTATTTCATAATTTCTTAGTATTTGTCACTACGCAGCATCCCCAAAGACTGATGACACCATTGTGGTTTTAGATTGTAGGTCTGATATCAGTGAGCTGATGCTCCCCATTCAGTACAAAGCAGGATCAGTGACTTCTGGTGGTAACTTGAGATTCAACTCAGGATTTTCCGTTTTATAACTTCTTACCTGGGTCAGCCACCATGACAACTCATACTGAAGACCTGTTTATTTACTTTGATTCGTGTCTTCTAAATTTCTCTTTATTTTCATGACCAGTAATTTAATCCCTACTCCATTCATCTCCCATAACCCCCCACACACACACCAGAGAACCAGAGTTGACTTTCTGTTGTACCACTAAGCTGTAGCCATCACGAGGGTTAGACCCTGATCTGCTTTAACTGGACATGTTTTGTTGCATTGTAATATCACAGTAGTGTCACAGACTAGTCATGAAAGTCCCAACAAAAGTTCAGAAAATAGTTTATTTTGAATAAAAAGTATAAAAATGCTATGAAAAAAAAAACACAAATCAATCTTTGAACTCAAAACATGGAAAGCCTGAAAGCTTCTGGCAAGCCGCCATCAGCACTGCTCAAACTCGTACGCTTTCAGAAATATAGTCAACCTGTTCCTTCTTGATCCATCTTGCTGCTGCTCGTCTTCCTCATGCAACCTTTATTCTGCCATCTCTAAATGCACTCAGAGCAACTCCCCAAGAGCGGCTCAGACATCAGAGCTATCGCCTTGAAACAAACCCACACGAGGACAAGACGTGGCCCTCGTACGCAGCGTTATGACGCATGAATGCAGGATACTGGCAGTGCTACCTAAAGAGGATGTACAGGAGACAGACGGGAATAATCCTGCGTCGGTGTCCTTGTGTGTGAGCAAGTCTGCCGCTGAAGTAAATGAGGATTGTGGGGGTGGAAGGGGATGAGGGAAAGGTCTGCCAATATAAGGATGTGTAGGTAAAAAGGAGCAGACAGGAGGATAAAGAGATTGGGCCACATTCACCAAGCTAAGAGCTGATAGAGAACAACGTGCATCTGCAGCTGAGAACTTAAGTCTGTCCAGTTCTTAGTTCCAACTGTGGTGATGAATATGAGCCGAACAGACAAGGCAGCATGGAGCACATGTGCAAGGGAAAGTATAAGCCGGAGCATCTGGTTTTGTTAAGAACTCAAAACATTCCTTCCCTCTGTTCGATGCTGGCTGGCAGCTTTTAAAGAGACATGTTTGCTCTCACATCCTGCTCTGGGCACTGCCCTGCCTCTTGAAGTTCAGTTTATAGCTGCTGAAGGTCACAGGCAAGACGTCTCTTTCCCTTTATGTGTGCGCTGCTTGGCACGAAACACATTTTAATGAGCCAGAAACACCGATGACCGCATCCTTCAGTCCTCTGTTCTTGGTCCTTAAATTAATAGCAATGGGTTCACAGTGTCTGAAACAAATAAAAGCAAATTCTTCATTAGGATTAAAACAGCTAATGAAAGACACAAGAGCTATTTTAATGACTTTATGAAAGGAATAGCTTTAGATCATTTAAGTCACACCAGCTCTTCTAAAGTAAACATCCTTAAAAAGAACCATTTAAACTCAAAAAGCTAAATCACAAAAACATGAACCAACATTCTGTTTCCCCGCATTTTACCATTAAATTAAAAAACATACCCAAAATTAGGAGGAAATAAAAACACCTTAATGCAACTACAGCATGATGCAAACCAGGTGAAACGTACAACTCTGCCAGCATTGTGCAACATCACAAAAACACATCATTAAACGGAAACACCTGAGCAGCACTGGAAGCATTAAAACTAAGCCGGATTGACGGACAACTCCCATGATGCAATTCTGTTGTTACATGATACAGCAGGTGCCATGGTGTGAATGTGAACACATGAACGTGCTGCATAAGTGACATGGGTTCTCCTGCTCAGCCGGGGATGGGAGGACTTTATTCCATCATCATCATCATCATCCTTGTTGAGGTCCTGGGCAGGAAATAGCCGACTACAACAGTTCTTCAGCTGGCAGCTTTAGCAGGTGTATGAGGACATAAAGCTTGCCAGTGAAGAACTGCTGTAGGTCAGCCAGCGAGCGGATCGATTCACTGCAGGTTATAAACATTAATACAGGTAACATGGGTGCAGGTCTTCTGGGACGTAACTGGAAGTGATTAAAACTCTTAAAGCTTGCTGTGGCAGAAGAAGCCAACAGACCTGCCAATCAAATAAAAAAAAAATTCTGAATCACATTATGAACAACAAAAATCAAGAAGTTGAGCACATAAGTTTGACTGTTTAAAGACAAACATTGGGAAATATTTTAGTTGGATTCTTGTCAGACGGAGGCAGCATCTAGCAACGGTTACACGCTCCGTCTTAAAGCGCTTCGGTGTTGGCTTCAGCTTTTGGCCGTGGTGGCTGCTGCTTGGCACAGAAGGACCCACAGACTGCTTCCGCCTTCGCTGTGCTCACAGCACTCTTTAGGGAGAAAGGTGAGGAGGGAGAAAAAGATACTCAAGATAAAAACTTTGTCCATATTTGAGAACATCTTGATTGAAATGAGCATCTAGGTCTAAAGGAAGAAGAGTAGCAGCATGAAAGGGCCTACGTGGCGAATGCCAGCTTACCGTTAAAGTCTCTATTGGCTTTTGCTATAGTTGAAGACGAGAGTATTTGTTAGCTTAGTTAGGCTGGCCTCGGCTCTCAGCCTCCTGATCGAAAACAGCTCTCGTCCTTTGGGGAAGTTCGGTTTACAGCCATCATAAAGGGTTGAATGTTATAGTTTTCTTTGCAGTTTAGACACTTCCACTCCCTTGGGTGTGTGACTCGTTCACAAACACGTCAAATATTTTCTCATTTCACCACGGGAAAAATAACTTAAAGCATGCATCTGCATAAATGCCTTTTAAGCCAGAGGCACAAAGATCTTCAGATTAGTAATGTTGAAATATCTTGAGGTTTTGAAACCCTAAGTGTTCTTATGCCAGATTAAAAGTGACTTGAAAGCCCCCCTTTTCTGATGTGCTACGTCCCCTCTCAGCTGGCCACTGTGTAATACTTGTGAGTTGTCCAGGATTCGTCTTGACTGGCTCCCATTCAGCTGGCCCAGCTTCAACTATTTCAGCCAGTCTGTCTGAAAAGCCTTTCCCTAGCAGCATATTCTTTCAGTTCAAGGACAGGACTTTAGGCAAGCTAGCTCTCAGCAACGCAGTGAACCCAGCAACCCCTAGAAACTCAACGAACCCCACACAGTTCCGAGCAGAGCTGGAGAGCTCCAAGCTGCAAACACACACAACGTGACCACATGGTCCTCTTCCACCGAGACAAGTTGGAGAAATAATTCTGAATGGACTGGATCATCATCAGTGAGCCCAGTCGGCTTTAAGATTATTTCTTAAGTATTCACAAGCCAGCAAGTTTGCTAGCCTGTTAGCTGGTTATTTATCAAACACCAAAGAAAGAAGAGTGTCCTTTCTTCAAAACAGGCTGCAAAAGTTAAACATTTAACATATCAAAACAAATGAGTAAAGGATATTATTTTCACCCATTTATTGCAATGGGAATAAATTGTGTGAATTTGATTTCCATACACAACACACGTGTTGGTTGTGAAGGTGTGTATTTTCCCTGCCAGTCCATACCTAAATCATTGCAAGCAGGTCGTATTTTACTGTTCAAGTAAGACCTTACCAACGGATGGCCATTAGGGTAAAAATCCCTGGAAGCGTAATTTTTGAATGAGCACTGTCAGATTGTTCAACCTCCAGCGACTCACTCTTTGTCCCTTGCAACGAGCAAAGAGGTAAATGTGTAAAACATTTGTGAATGGCGAAAGTTTTATAACCGCTTGTTATAAGTCAGTAAATTTGTTTTGTCCTCACAGGCTCCCGTAGAAGGCAACATAGCGTCTAATATGACATCACCCAGAGACTTAGACCCACTCCCATGTATTTTAAGACTCCATTTTTATAGTTATGTTATGAAGCCGCCAATATTTTTAACAATTGGACATCCTTTAATTCACTTTAAACATTTTAATGGATATTCCCAGAGCTTAATGGTAAAAACTACACATCGTCTCTTTAAGGTGTTTTTGAAAAATGTAATAGAAACAACAAAAAATATAGACCATTTGTGTAAACTACTATACAGATGTACAAGTGAAAAATGAGCAGAAAGTGGTGCCAAGGTCACAGATGGTCACCACCGTGAGCACAAAGAGTGGTGACCATGTAATAACCTTAATATGACACAGGAGATCAGTGTCCCTCTGGCATAACACTAAAATCCAGCAATTTGTCAGTTCAGATTAACGCACAAAGAAAAATCTTTTTCTGAATTATGATATCAACCTGAGGTGTGACACCTTTTGGCAAACAACAAAAAACAAGCACTCTATTACGAAAGAGAGCTGTCATTTTTCACCCCCTTATTATTTCTGTGCTATGTTCTTGCTCAGCTCATGTTATGTTAAGTATGCACACAACCCGTACACGGAGGCCATCCCAGAGAGGAGAACACAGTGTACCAGAGGACTGATTTACTACATGGAGCTGACAATTCCCAGGACAATCACAGCTAGCCTGAGCAACACACACACACACACACGCACACGCAGTCTATAAGGTTAAAAAACAACAAGTCTTGTAGGTTTGTCTTTTTGTAGTGCACAAACTACAGGGGATGAGTTAGTGTTATAAAGAATGCAAACAGACTTCAGCGTACCAACAGAAGCTGATCTGAAGATTCTGTAGGTGGGCAACCCAACTTGTTAGAAATCAGTGTGAGGCCTTTAAACGGGCCCTTGTGGTAGCTTTGCTGTTTCTACACTGTTTAAAGAGCAATAACCATTGTGACTGGATTAAATCTGAAAAAAAGCCAACAACAACACATTCTACATGGTTCTGCAAGGAATGACTTGGCTACAACATCTCAAAGAGATTCTCTGTGAATCAGACCAAGAAAGCCATTTCATATTTCTAAACAAAGTAAATAAACAATTGCATAAAGTTAACTGACATGTTGTGAGACTGTCTATTTTGTGTTCCCAGGAGTCAGTTACTCTAGGAGTAGATCAGTAATACCAATACCTGATCCAGTAACATATCTAAATTAAATGGCCACAGTCCATCCCTGTGTCTCCAAGCGCATATTCTACTCAAATATATATTAGCAATGTGAAAAACAGAATAATCAAATTAAAAAGATCCTTATATGCTTATTTTAATGTCTAAATATGTAAACAAAGTGTACCGATACTACAACTGACATTTCAGCCAACTCCAAGGCCAGCAGCATTGCTCACTCCACAGCAGGGAAAGTGGAAGTAGAAGGTCCCAGGCTGCAGCTCTCCACCAGAGTGTCATGAAATCCAACTTTAAAGCTTGCGATTACCAGACACACTTTTGCACAGCAAACCTGATGCGCTACACGTGTACACATTTACACACCTCACCTGCCTTTTCTCAAGGCCACAACACACTTCCTGTGAATAAATGTCCCATTAAAACACCTGCATTAGCTGTAGCTTCACCGGGAAGAAAGGTATAAATCACAGTGAGGTGTGTGTGCACACAAGCACACACACTTAACAGGAGTCCTGGTGCATATGTATGCACACTCTAGTACCTTGTTACCAGTTCTACTCCTGCAATCTCAACTCAGTCCAGCTGAAAGTAAAAAAACAGTTAGTGGAAATATGTGAAAAGTTTAAGGCGGTTGGTTAAATGTGTGCAGAAAATATGAGTTCACTGATGAGTTTTACTACAGTTAAAGGTGTGGAACACTCAACACCCAGAAGCACCTGTATCAGCACAGAGAGCAGAAAGTTGCTTCAGACTGTAGGCTCAGGACTCGAATTTCCCTGATATTTGGATATCTCGCCTTTGATTAGATAACAGCAACATGACTACCACAGATTCAGTTACAGGCCTGGAGGAGTTCTGCTGTGTGGTGGAGTTGCTAATGCTAATGGTTAGCTTCTACTAGCAGAAACATTCTCTGCCGTTTCCTGGACGCTAAAACAACAACAGCCTTCCGCGTCACGAGTCAAGATGGGTGAGTAAATGGATGTTAAGTGACAGTGGGACATAGATCTGTCAGCCTTTTCTAATCCAAAGTATTTTTCAAAAGGATGGCGGATCAGGAGCCAGCAGCAGATACTTTGGGGGCAAATTTCCAGTTTAAATGTTAGTTAACTTATCGTAACCATCTGGCTGACATCTATAATATATATATTTTTAGATCCAAGGCAGTCATCTATGCTTAGTAGCTGCAGCTTTGGTGGCTAGCGGGTACTCACATCATTTAATTTGACAAATATATACACAATTTAAAAAGCAAAAGGCTTGTTATACATTTATAATGAAACTTAAGTATAAAATATACCTCATAAAATAACTACCTCATGTGTCATGAGACTGCCGCGGGAGCT